TGAAATCTCATCATTTTCCTATTTCGAAGAAGTACAAGAACGGGTACTTGATAGTAAAATCGGAAGGTCTTAAGCTCGGACCATCTTGATGAGTTAGGACTCAAATTTTCCGTATCTTTCTATAATTACATGCCTATAAGAATACCATGTAAAACTGACAGGAAATTTAACCATTAATATCAGACACCCACCTCATATATTACAACTTTGGCAACTTCACCATACTTGTTACACTCCTCCACGACCTCAGGTTGTAGCTCTTCGTCCACTTCTCCCGGACCAACCATATTCTGAAAACCAGACGAACGTTTTTAACCCAAATGAAATGTTGCAACACGCTTAATTAAATTCGAAGTGAAGGAAACCACAGAACAAAGCAATTTACAATTAAATGTCGAAAGCAATCCAGGATTGTTTTGTTTTTACTTCGCTTTGCTTTGAGATTGTTCCAGCACCTTCGTATCAACTAATGAGATGTAAAACTACGAACAATCACGACTTGGTCACCCGCGTTTTCCCGCGCTTCAAGAAATCTGCTTGTCATCGCTTTGAGTTTTCATTGACTATTGATGATGTAATCCTTTGTTCTGATAGGGTCGCTGGGAAAACTTTAGTTATGATTTTTCGACACTTAATTAAAAACTAAAATAATTACTTAGAGACTTCCATAAAAAGGCCAAAAAAAACTGCTACTTACCCTCAAAACAACAACTTTGCTTGGGTTCCTCATAACGCTGGTAACTGGTTCTGCTTCTTGCATTGCAGCTTTTGATTCTGTTGATCAAAAAGGTATTTACTCTTTCATTGAACATGTCAAGTCTCCTTAAAGTTTCCTATTTTCAAAATTTGGGAGAATTAATAGATATATCGGTGCACTTAGAGCAACTTGCGGCAAAATAACTGAGAACTGTGGTAGAAGCGGCACACATGGCGAAAAAAATATCTGGGATACCAGAAAGTATAATGGCAGGAGAGTATTTTGGTCTACCGTTCGCAGCTGCTGAGGCTGAGTCGTACACTTTTCATAAAAGAAGTTATCGGGGATTGCACTAGTTTTGCTTTACAATGGTTTGTGATTGGTCCATAAATCTCGCTTCAAGCTCTCAACCAATTAAATGCGAGGTTATAAATAGCTACGACTTGGTCACACGCGTTTTCCCGCGCTTTCCCGCGCTTTAGACCGTCACGTGAATTTACCTTGAGTTCTCATTGGTTCATTGAGTTGCGTGCCTTTGTTGTGATTAGCTACTGTGATTATATTGGGTTTGGTTTTTATGCCAGAACCTCTTTAGTTCTTTAACAGAAATGATAATTAATAAAATACAAACCTTTGTCTTGGTTGATTATTTTTCCGCCTCGCTTGCTGGTTTTCTCCACTTGCAAACATGTGTTAATACCTTGCTCTTGTTTTCCTAAACCTGAAAATAAATAAAAGGTGGCTTCATCAATTTTCTATGGCAAAATCACTCTCAAACTTGGATAAATTAAAACAGAAATTCCTCTAATTCTCCCCTAAAGAATTGAACTATTAATTCCCAAGATTTACTAGTAAATTCTTTCCACTAAGACTAGCTTGATAACTAGCTGTTTTATCTAAGGAAGTATTTGTGGCTAAAAAATTTTTCTTCCTTGCGGTTTGACTGTCTATTAAAATTATTAAGACAATTTCACTATTAAGCATTCACAAATCTTAGGTGCCAAGGGTTTAAAACCCATCACTTCTTTTTCCAAATATTATTATTTTCATCTCACCTAAGAATTGCCTTCTTTGAGTGACAACAAAGTTCATACCAAGGTGCAAACAATTTGCAAACAACAAAAGCAAACAACACCAAAAAACAAAAAACATAAAGTTACCTTGGCCATCTTTCCAACCATATTTTGCCATAATCTGAGATGCAACAGGACTGTAAGGGAGATTGAACAAAGTTAACTTAACCAGCTGTATTTAACTAATTGCAATTGAGAATTTTGTAAACAGTTTTAAGTGATATTATTAATGGAAAAAATTCCATTAAGCAGTCTATTATTTTTAGAGCATAAATTCATCACTTACTGTTACTTTGATCTCACCTGGCAGAAAAGCCACCAGCTTTTGGTTTATTTTCAGATGCAAAATTAAAGTCTGCTCCACTGGACACTGGCCACTGTTGGGCAGCTTGCTCTACTAAGAGAACAAAAAAATATATTTTCTAAAGGCCCAATTTGGTAAGAAATGTAAAATACACAAGTGTTTGAGACAACAGAATCTCAACCAAGATGATTTCCCTTCAGAAGATCGTTCCTCATAAATTCTTATATGTAAAAGTTTTGATACTAGAAGGGAAAGATTTCCTTATGCTTTACAAAACAACAATCTCAAATACATAAAAGAAAATCAAATTATTTATAACTTTCTATTTCCAATTTAGGCCTTTTAAGCTTTTTTTTAAGCCTCAGAAATGGAATTGTCAAGGTATAGGGTTAGGTTAGGGTACAACTCTGGTTTTTCCCTACATACCATAATTATTTCATACTACTTTTACTTATTCCCTTGATATTCTAGGTTTGATTACCAGGTGCTGAATCCTGCATAAGAGATGGGGGTGGTGCAATGGCTGCTCCCCCAGGAAATCCTCGACGTGGAGGCTGGCTGCCATAACTATCATCATCATCACCCCTGCGTCTTCCTCTGTCTCTTCCTCTGTCTCTGTGGTGGTCTCGATCCCGGTCTCTGTCCCTATCTCTATCACGATCTCTGTCGCGGTCTCTATCCCGGTCCCTGTCACGGTCTCTCTCACGATCATGGTCTCTGTCACGCTCACGATCTCTGTGTCTTTCAAGAAAAAGTGTATGTTGGTTAGTAGCCTGAAAGCATGCTCTTGTGCTACTGTACAAGTCTTTCTTCATCTGCAGGAAAGTTTGAAGAGCAAGCCAAAAGTCTTGCATACACTTGCACTGTATATATATTTATTAACCTACCAGTAGGTGTTGTAGTTTAAACTGAATCTAATCTTTCTTTTAATTGAAAGTTATTTGAATCTATATTGATTTATTAACTATTTTGTTCCAGTTAAATAACCACAATCCTTGACCACAAGGAAATACAATTCAATCTAGTTTGAAATCATTTTCACCTGGAATCATTTTAACCTCTTTCCACAGAGAAGCACTGTTGGTTGGAATACCACCTTACCTCTCTCCTCTATCATAATCACGGTCGCCGCGTGATCTTTCTCGATTGTCTGTCCTCTCTGACCTTTCACCTCTGTCCCCTCTCTCATTTTCTTTCTCTTCCCTGAACTTTTGTTTGACCAACTCATATTCATTTGGTCTTAAAGGATCATATTCATCGATAACAACAGCAAGTGAGGCTTCTGTCTCTGTGAAGGGTTCTGGGACCTTTTGGAGATCAGTATCCTTGCAAAATAAATGAAAAGGTGATCATAATTTGTATGGTTTTAAATGTCTCTATCAAAGTCAAGATCAAAATTTGTAAGTGTACAATCAGATAAAGATGTTTTAACTCTTTAAATCCCAAGATCTGATTATTGATTCTCCTTTCTTGCTGCTACACAAGTTCTTGGTACTGAGTTATGAGAGTTTAGTGTTAGATCAAGATAACAGTTTCAACCTGATAAGTTTGAGTATTCTCATTACCTGTTTACTGGATATTATATGGATATTATAGGGAGAGCTTACATGTTAATCACTTCAGGGAATTCAAGGGTTGAGAAAAGAATTAATATGATAGAAGCTGGCATTACTCCTTTGCAAGGCCTACTAAACTTAATAAAAATCATTATTCATTGACAATTTGACATAGGGCTCACTGGCTACTGAAGGTTAATATCTTTTTAACTGGATTTAAGAATGTTTTGATGACTTTACAAGGTTTCTCCACCTTGTCTCTCTTCAATGATCATAAGTCAATTTGAAGCTCTTTACTATGACCAAAAATTGTTCCTGAAATCTGTTGTACACATAGCAGCCACACAACATCAACATCATATAAACCTTGTCCTCTTGCACTGTAAGATATGTTACAGATCTTCTTTTTCCTTGTCTATTTATGACCCATGCCCTTCCACCATAAATTAAAGGGGCAAAAACTCAGTCCATAACCTACAGTACAGCACTTGCAAATGATTAGAAAGAGGTATGAGAGGTATAAAGCTTACCAGCATTTCTCTACCATCAATATCTGATGCTGTAGAATCCTACAAAGAACAAGAGAAAAAATTAAAACAATGGGCCATAAAATCCAAGCAGAAAAAAACATGGACCATAACTTGCATCATAAACCTCAAAATCAGTTAGCAAGATGCATGTAAGAAGAGAAAAAAAACAAAACATTACAATAACCTCCAAATCATCAGCTGTTCTCTTGATGCCCAGGACCACTTGATTTACAGCCTTTGTTCGCTGTAATACAAAGCATATTTACAAATCAAAAATCAAAAGTAAGAAGAAACTTAATTGTGTTAAGGAGGCTTGTAATCAAAGTGTAGAATTTCACAATGGAAGTGGAAGGAATGAACAACAAACTTCATCAAACTTGAAATGGCTAAAAACAGTTTTCAAACACTCCAACCAGCTATCTTCAGAGTGCTCAAAAACAAACTTCCCCTCCTCATACTCAAACAATTCTCACACACTTATTAACCAAAAGATTGCTGATTTCTTATGTCAATGTTATTGGGAAATTCAGTCAAACAGTTTTTGGGGACAGCCTCGGCAAACCTTTGATAGATTTGTTCACAACTTCAGGATTTCTTTCTTTGAGACAGAAGCAAAGGAAAATTGTTTCTGGTCACCCCAGTTGTGTTGCTAAAACCAAAAGTTGATAGGTTTGATTCAAGGACATAACAGCAATCAAAGACTGTGCCACAAGGAGAGAGGAAGTTTTAAAGGGTTTGATTATTAGCATTTGAACAACTTACAGATGTTGATAATGGTCTTGTTTGAGCAACTTTCTTTCTCTGTAGCTGAGTCTGTAGAAGTTTGTAACTGGAGGACCAGCCAGCTGCAAGAAATGTTATCTCTTTATTTCTCCAGAACTGATCAGTTATTTCCCTTCTAGCTGCCATAAATATCCTTTTAAATTAGTTTTGAGGATTTTCAAAATATGTTTGATGTTATATCAAGTTAAAATCAAGATAGCACCATTCAGCTAAATGTAATTATAACGCTCGTTCAACCTGAGATGGGGGGGAACCCAAGTATTGATCTTTGTTGCCTTCCCTGACCTCCGCGTGTTTATGTCGCATCAATTCTCAGTCTGGAGCAACAAAAACGTGTCTGTACTTTCCTTATCAGCCAGTACGTAGTCCAAATGATATGCCTTTGTTCTAAAGTTTCCATTTATCAAATCGAACTGTATGATCATGACTCACGATTTATTCAAATCTGAACCACTTTCGCTCAACAAAGTTGTGTTTACGAATGCTACAAATTTATATTAATTGCCGGTTAGCTGCAAAAGACTACACCTTGAAGTAAAATAAACCATAAGATAACTTACAAAGCTTGGTAATGTCGGTTCCTTCCGTGGCAGTTGATTGCATTGGCACACCGTCGATGTCGACTCCATCGTAGAGCGACATGTTGTCCTCTCTGCGGAAACTGACTATAGCTTTGGAACCTCGCCTTCAATTCAAAATGGCGACTTAGCAGCCGCGAGTTTGTTTACGATGGACCTGAAATTATTGCTGCATCTTTGCGATATTTCTGGAAGAGATCAGGGAACTTCTGTCGTCTAAAGAATATTTTATCTCACTTTTGTAAGAATTTTACCATTGTTTGTGGATAGAAAGATGAGAAACGGCTGCTTGCGTTCATTAAAGAAGAGTGCCATTCCAGTTTGGAATTTGCGTTCTGGATAACTTGCAACGAAGTTGTCATGGAAATCGTCTCGGAAGGAAGGTTAGTTGTCATTATTCTTAAAGTCGAGACTTTATTACGGTTAAGTTGCTTCTTCTGATGCGTGATGTGTTTAAAAAAATTATTGTATAACTCTGACAAGTATGTTTTAACTGGTGTTAAGAAACCATGCATGCATCTCATTGTTCTATTGTTTTCTTTTTATTTTCAAGTTTGGAGTCTATAAGCAGACCTGCAAGTTGTGATACTACAAGATCTAGAGATCAAAACTTACCTCAAGTAAGTTTCCAATGAGGCCTTTCCATTCTAACAAACTCTAAATTCGAAATACTATAAATACATTGTTATTTTGTAACATTTAGTTAGTGATCATTTCCTTTATTCTCGTGACCTTAATGTTTGATTCAGGGGTGATATTGTAAGGAGAAAATAGAAGCTGGTAACTTCAAGGGGTTAAACAGTTAACAAACTAAGAGAGGTGGCAAAGAATGCTCAGCTTCTTCCTTGCCCTCTGGATATAAGTTTGGGGAAAGGAGGAGAACCAACAACAAACTCAACCCAAATGTGATGCCAGATCCAAGAATCGAACCTGGGCCTGACAGTGGTGGGATGCAAGTGCTTTCACCACTGTGCCATCCCTGCTTCCTTTGCTGCATTATAGAGTGAAATGCCAAGGTCCGGGGTTTGATTCCTTATGCAGACCTTAGGTGTTTTTCTTTGTCTCATCCTTGTGACTGATGTAATAACATATTTTGGTATATCAAAACCCATGCATTTATATATTACAACTGAAGATGAACTTTAAGCCAATTTCAAAGAAGAATTGACCTGTCATTTTTCCCCAACCAGATTTTCACATTTTATGACAGATAATTTTTCCTGTTGAATTTACCAATTGACTGGAATTCCCATATTTTAAGCATTCATTGTTTTTCTACATTGTAATAGAAACATGGTCAAATGAGAGGCTTTCTAGAAGAGCTCCCTCCTGAAGGTAAGCTTGGAAGAACCTTCATGTCATTTTGAGGTAGAACTTTCATTTATTTCTTATATGCAGACCTTAAAAATTCATTTTAATCAATTACCAGAGTGTTGGCATTACTCTGAATTATTTTTTTCCGAGTATGCTTGTGACTCATGTAATAATATTATCTTTCACAGTATCAAATAGTAAGGTTTCAGCCAAGTTTCAATATATTGCTTTCAGCTGTCACCAACACCTTAGATGAAGATGTTGATCATCTTGACTCTGAGGAAGACTCAGTAAGTTTCATTTGTAATCCTTTTAACATGGTTTTCATGAAGAATTGTAGCAGGAGGAGAATGCTGCTACACTTGTAGGTTAAACAGGAGAATATTCTCTACATCTGAATATAATCTAGTTCAGGTCATTGAAAAATAGAAGGCAAATTCTGGGTAAAAGCCTAAGAATTCTTGCTCTGAGCACCCTGTTCAAGAGATCAACTTGTGAACAGGTTCCTGAAAAGTAATTTTTTTAATGTTTTAACTTACCATCAAGAGCATCAAAAAACATTAAAACTTGTTTGCAAAGAAGAACTGACGTTCTTAATACTCTTGCAGATCATATCTCCAGTTGAAAATGATGTTATTTTAGAAGACATCCCAGAAAGAACTGCTACAGCAAACAGCAGTGTAGAAGAGGAAGTGGTAGATGATCAGGAAGATGATCAATCAGGTAAATCTGTCAATTAACCCTGTAACTCCAAGATCAAATTTGTTATTGTCCTTATTGTCAACCATACAATTCTTACAATTTTAGTTCAGAGAATTTAGTATTGGATCAACTAATTATCCCCAAATTGATATTTTTCTCTATTCTCATCATTTATCTGGTTGATATTGTATTGATATTTTAGGGAGAAATTCTGTCTTTGTCACTCACGGGGGTTAACCCTTTAACTCCCAGATCAAATTTGAAATTCTCCTTACAGTCAACCATTCAATTCTTATAATGTTAGTTTAGAGAATTTAGTATTGGATCAACTAATTATCCCCAAATTGATATTTTTCTTTGTTCTCATCACTTATCTGGTTGATATTGTATTGATATTGTAAGGAGAAATTCTGTCTTGGTCACTCATGGGAGTTAAAGGGTTAAAGGGCTAAGAGATCCAAAAGTTTATTCTCCAAAATGATCCTCATGTATTTCTTTATTGGTTATTTGTATCCGCAAGTTGATAGGTTGCTAAATTCTCTCTACCTGCCTGCTTGCCAGTGAATTAAAATTTGAGAGAGAATTTGCTGTAAGATCTGCCCTGCTTAAATGGAAAGTGGGTTATTGTGGTATCCAGAATCTTCTGCTGTGTCCAGTCTGCCCCTGCTCCAATGGCAGTGGAACCAGAGGAACCAAGATAGAGTTGGATGGAAGGACATTGCAGTCTATTTGCACAATACATAACTTCATTACTTATTTTCAATTATTCCTTTATTTATATATCATAAAAGTAGAGGAGAGTGCATCAGAGAGAAGTGGTCATGTAGTCAAACAGGGCGTGTCCCAAGATGAGGAGGATTTTGAAGCAAATCTGGATCCAAAAGTTAGAAAAGGACTTGAGAGGATAAGGAAACTGGATGCGATTCTTGCTGATAAACTGAAGGTGAGTCTTTGATTTTTGCCATATACCTGTACTTAATTTTTATTTGTTTTCTTTGCTCTTGCCTCCTTTTTGCTTTGTTTCAAAAACAGGAACATGACAATTTGGAAAGAAAATCTCGCAGTCTTAGTGCTCCAAGTTCAATTTTGTTTTCAAAGTCACCATTAGATCCAAAATTGTAAAATGATTACCAGAAAAAGATTTTTTTTGTACAAAAGTTTTCCAAAAGAGAATGCATTTGAAAGAAACATCTGTGACATTTTTGAAAATGTCCTCCTCACTTTGACTTCAGACCATAAAAACTAGGTAATAAGAATGTTACAACTTGGTAGTCATGACCACCGAACACAGGTCACCAAATTGGTGATTTACACTGCAAGTTTAGTTGGGAAAATTTTCCCAGAATCCATAGCGACCAAAAACCGTCAACGCTTGGTATGTCTGTTACAAGTCTCTTACAGCTTTTTTCCATGTTTACTGGTACCCACTCCTACTCCTGCTGGAAAGAAGCCTTTCAAGAGTTTTGCAAAGACCTGCTCAGAGCTAAAACCCTGGTTGGGTTATTATCATTCCCTGACGACGCCGTAGATCGGCGAACACTTTGGAAAAAAAATACAGTAGCTCATGGCCTCCATTGAATCGTCTTTTTAATCATTTTTAACAAAATTCTGCTGAAGGACAACTTCAAACGTTCACTAGGGTCAATGAATTTTACATTCCTGCTGCTATTCCTTCCTTTTACTTCAAAAAGAAGTGTTGTCAACCTTGCTAAGTTTTCTGAAACATTCACAGAAAGAAAAAGAGGTCAAGATTCATAGAAGACAACTGGAAAAGAAGTGGAGAGAGGAGTTAAATCAACTGGACCAACAACGAGAACAAGAAGGTCATGGTAAAATTGACTTGGGTGTCAGCCATGCACTGGCCCTCGGTCCGCCCACTGATGACTACGTCCCAGGTAACAGTTATGAATAATTGTTTACTAAAACAACAGAGGTAATGTTCGCAGGCATGAATTTGTTTTGGACCGGACTGACTCGTTTGAGCAACAATATCCGGCGAGTGGTCTGCGAGAGGTCTAGTACATATAATTAGTACCAGACACCCGGTAAACTTATCCCCGACTCGTCCTTTCCCTTCTCGCGGGTGGAGAAACTCGTGGCTTGAGCTATCGAATAGATGTCTTATCAATGTTTAAAAACTGTTATTGTGACTTGAGAATCTTTCTCATTGAGGTTTCTAATCCTGAAAAGTTTACAGGATGTGTATTACATAAGAACCTGGTTTTAGTTATCACTAACTCTGTATTTATTGAAAGCAGATGAAGAGGAGCCACTTCTTACACCGTTGTTTGCCACACAACCTCTCGCTGATGAACGAAAGCACAGCTCTTCTCCCTCTGACAGAGGTAGGCCATCAATTTTTTGTCTTTTTCTTAAGTGCTTCTTTGTTTAGGTCGGAGAGTAATTTGGCAGCGATATGCTGACGGAAAGCTACGAAGACCCGGACAAAGACCAGACCACACTTCTAAGAACCTTTGCCTTAGTCTTTGCAATAAGCGAAATACTTCGCTTTATAATTGGTTCAGAAAACTTTCGCCATTTTCCCAACTAATCAGATTCAAAAGTAACACCAATCGCGACTTGGTCACTTGCGTTTTCCCGCGCTTCAGACAGTTGGCTGGATTTTACTGAAAATTCTCACTGGCTGTTTGTGATATCTTCCTTCGCTCTGATTGGTTCTTGTGATTACTTTGGTTTTCCTTTTGCGACACACAATCGGAATGCGCTCTAGTGAAGTCGTTGCCAAAGAGTAAGCGTGTGCGTTTCCCTTTTCAGGTGTTACCTCCAGCTGTGATTCATGGACAGAACAAGATATTGACGATGTAGAAAACAAAGGCTCCAAAAGAACGCCCAAGAGGAGAGGGAGCAAACAATCTTCCAAAACTAAAAGAAAAGAACAGAACTTTGTCAAGCGAAACATCGAGGTATAATGTGATTTACATATTTCGTTTTATTTTTGTTTCTAAAATAGTTATTCTCCCGACCGATTGTTTTGTATTTCCTGTAACATGAGGTGTAAGAATTTAACACTACATCAGCTCAGCTAAGTATATATTACGTAACTTTGTTTCAGTTGGCTGCTGATGCTGGGAATCTGATCCCCATGACAGAAGCGGAGAAAAAACGTTTAGATGAACTACTCTCGGATGAAACAGATCTTCTAATGGTGGAGGTTTGCCTCAAGCAATTTTCTGTATCATGTCACAAGCAATTTAGCCTTCTCCCAGTGTTACTTCACTGCGCTCTGTGATTGACTTTTGACTTACCAAACAACTGCGACTCGGGCACCCGCGTTTTCCCGCGCTTCAGGCAGCTTGCTTTTTTTTAGTTTAAGTGCTCAATGGCTCTTTGTATTATTTACCTTTGTTCTGATTTTGCGTTGTGATTACACTTTGTTTTGCCTTTTCGACGCTTTATAGTCAAACGCGCTTTAAAAAATTTGTTTCACTCGCTTTGGTCCACAAGTCTCGCGCTATGCTCTCAACGAATTAAATGACACACTGCAAACAGCCATGACTTGGTCATTTTCCCGCGCTTTAGCTCTTAAGGCCGGTCACGTGGATTTATCTTGAGTTTTCATTGGCTCCTTTTGCACCTGTGTTCTTATTGGTCGTTGTAATTACTCTAGTATTGTTCAACAACGCTTGGCTAAAATGTGCTTTAAAATGTTTTCTTTCATGACTTTCTGTATTCCGTCAAACAGAATGCGTACTCAGAAGGACTATCACTAACAGCAGGTGAAGGTTTTACCCTGGACTGTGAGTCAAAAGCTTCACTCGCCGAAATAGACAGGTTAGAATTTCCATAGATCCTTTGCCCTGCACAGCTAGCGGTTTTTATGGGCATTTTGAAGTGATGAACAGGGAAGTCAGAGATTACGAGCAGTCCTTCCTTTCCGGCAAAGTCCGTCGCGTAAGTTAAACAAAAAAAAAAACATCAGCTTAGAAAAATCCATGTTAACGCACCGCGCCGAACTTTTCTTGCGACTAACTCCCAGAGTTCCACGTGGCACACTATCATCAATTTTATTTTCACTGGTTTTATTTTTTCTCGCGCGACGGACTTCGCCGTAAAAGAGGGACTGCTTTTAGTCTTTTAGCTGCGAGTCACAAGGAAAGCCATCGAACGGCCAAAAAAAAAAAACGGTCAACTACGTAGCTTATACATTCACTCCCTGAAAATCTTTGTTGGTGCTTTTAACCCTTCAACTCCCACGATTTGATTGGGTAATTCTCCCCTCTAGCTGCTACACATTTCCTTGTAAATTAGTTATGAGAATGTGGTGTTAGATCAAGATAACAACTTGTACCTGATAAGTTTTGATCACTTCTGGGAGTTAAAGGCTGAAAGCTCGAGAAGTAGTTCTGACAACGGTGCGTTATTCGGTCTCGGAGTTCTCTTCAGCACAGTGGCAGAACATCAGACTGCGAAACCTTGAAGTTTGCGGTTCGACAGCTTGTTCCAGGCGAAATTTGGTGAAACGGAACAAAATAGGAAACAGCGCGATAGTAACGGTGGAGTGAAAAAGCGACTTAAAACTCCTCCGTTTTTTTAAACCCTCCGCTGTAATCGCCGCCGTTTACAATCGCACTTCGTTTACTTACTAAACGCCTGGAACAGCCCAGAGGTTTGAATGTACGTGGGATACTCAAGGTTTTTCTTTGCCTCACGCTCGGTACAAATGAATAACATGTATCCTAAATTAACTTCGCTTTTTACTTGTCGAAAAGTTGTTACTTATTCTAGTTAACTACACCTTTTCTCCTGATTCTCCAGTAAACTTCAGGAACTTGTACCTCAAGAAGAAATCGACTTATTAGCAAACCAAGAGAATTGGGAGCCTCACAAACAGTTGGATCATACACCACAGACAGTGAGAAGTTTTATTTGTTTGTTTGTTTGTTTTTTGGGTTAAGGACTGTTAATCCTGAAAAATCTAACTAAAAGTTTTAAACTTCCAAAATTCTCAATCCTTGTCGGTATCTTCCTCCCTTAATAAAGGGAGTAGGTTTCTAAAGAAACTGTGGTGCTACGTCGGTGGGAGAGTACGACAGGGTATTATCAACTGAGTTGGTAACGTAAATTGGCGACCGTAAAGGTTTCTATGCTGACGTTTCGAGCGTTAGCCCTTGGTTACCGCTTCGCTCTGACGAAGGGCTAACGCTTGAAACGTCAGCTTTAAAAACGTCTTACGGTGGCCAATTTACATCATCAACTCTGTTCACAAAACCGAATATTCTATCATCCTTAGTCGTCTGTCCCTTCCTGTTTTTATTACTGTTTCTTAAATGCTGCTCAATCCTACTGCACTTACGGATACTTTGTACGACTTCTTCTGTTTTGTAGTTTTTTAATACCAAAATTTTCCACACTAAGATTTTAAGGAGGAAGATTTTTCCTAAAAATATAAATGATATTTTCTGCTTTTTGAGTACTAATATTATTTTTTACTGACTCCCAGGACAGTTCAAGTGAGATAAGTACAGACACCATTGGTAAGTATGTTTCCCTTGTTTATGATATATTTCGTATGATTTTGAAAAGTGTCGACCCACAGGGATCATTTTCACTGAATGTCGCGAAATTAATACTAGGGTATTCACCTCGACAAATCAGAAGAAAAGGTGAAAACAACCAGACCGTGTTGCCACTTGACAGCTCGTAGTGCAACTAAGTAAACGTCTTAAGCTCGGGAAGATGCATGTGACCACATCATGATTGGTTTTATTTCAGCGGATGGCGTGAGTTCTCTGGATCAATCATTGAGCGAAGAAAGCGAAACCAATAGAATTCCGCTTTGCTTTCAACACTCGATGAAAAATTGTTCTTATAGTGGTCTATTCCTTTTACAAAACTGTTTTTTTATTTTGTCGAGTATTAATTGAAATTATTTCTATACTTCAGTTATTTATAAATTGTTATTATTTAGGACTGGGAGAGAGGATTCTTAGAGAAGAAAAAGAAATGAGGGACATGAAATCGAGACTGCTTGCTATCGAAGCTGAGCTTCAGACTTTGTACCGAGAGACTGGTAATGAATCTGAGGTCAGTAACAGTTACTGAAAATTTTGATTTGGACGGTTCATTCTGGCGCAATCCACTCCCCTAGAAATATAGAAAGCATTTCGATTGATTTTCGTTAATCCAGAATCAAAGTCTATAATCACATTGGTCAACCAGAAGAAAAGGAAAATGTCTCAAGAAGCCAATGAAAACTCAAAGTTAATATGTAACCACTTTCAAGCGCGGGAAAACATACGCTATCAAGTCTTGATTGGTTGGAGTTTTGCATCTGTGTTTTTTAGACCAATCACAAAGCTAAAGTGCGGGGAAACGCGGTAGACAAAGTCACGATTGTTTTAAGTTTTGCAACTGATTGGGTTAGAGAATGGCGCGATTTTTTTTGTCTAATCACAGAGACACGGAGCAAAACTAATGTAATCGCGAGTTCCTTTTGACATGTACTTGAGATATGACCAGGGTTTTTATTTTCGTATTTCAGGCTGGTTTGTCGGAAGAGATCCTGGCCAGGCTTATTGATGTAAGCTCACGAACAACTTCAAGAAGTACAACAGTGTCGGAAAGTGTCATGTCGGCTCTTTCTTCCGCCAGACCAGGAGAGGAAATGATCCAAGAGGAAGATGAAACCGCTATGTTAGCGATACTTGACGACGAGAATTCCGAGAACGTGAGACCGGATAGTGCACAAAGTACGCACCGAAGCACTTGCACACCAGGTTACGAAGAGCGCCGCGCTCAGAGTCAACAGAGTTCACAAAGAAATGATTCAAGCAAGCTGAAACGGCACGGCAGGCGGTCACAACAGAGCGTGACTCTGGAAGATGATCAAGATATGCAGGGACAGAGCTTAAATGATTCTCTTGCTAGGGCTCCTGTGAGAGAATCGAATCCACGCGCTCATTCACAGAACTCGATTCTCTCAAATGACAGCGGTGACGGGCCGAAGAGCAGAACTTAAAGAACGCCTAAAGAGCTATAATACTCTTATTTATTTGCAAAATGGCCGTTGCGATCCATAGCCTTAGTGGGATTTTCAACTGAATTTTGAAGCAATCGTAGATTGTACTGGTTTTGTTCCACTTCGTACTGTGATTGGCTTAGAAAACTCACGCCACTCTGTCAACCAATCACAAACAAAAATTAAACCAACGGCGACTTGGTCACATGTGTTTTTTCACTTTAGAGGACGGTTACAAGTTTGTAATACCAGTTCCTATCGACTCCTTGTGATCTTTTTTCAGCTAAAAGGAATTATTTTATGTTTTTCCTTTGAGGCGTTGTGATAAGTTTGTCTTTGATTCAGAGATCATTTCTCCGTTGAATTTTGCTTTACGTTGATGTCACGTGTGCTCAGTCGACATTTCCGAGCAATTGATCAGAAACAAATCGGAACAAGCTCAGATTTAAAACCACCTAATACTTAAAACCACCATAACAATAACTTCCAAAACTTCCTCGAGTGAGCTGTGTTAAAGTTTACAAGTTTTTACACGTACATAAAGTATATATAATTGCGCTTATGCATTCGTTTGATGATATGCAATTTAATTACTGTCGAGTGTGAAACAGTTTCAGTCATGACTTATCGAAAAAAAGTTGTTTTTTGTACATGCATGCTAAATAAAAGGACAACGATGCATTTATGGCTTTTTAATAATATGAGTTTATTGTAATTCTGATTAACGTTACATGGGCTTTTATTTCTCTTGTTTTCCACAAAAAGTATCAAAATACTCATTTCATTGCATCTCAACTTTAACTGCCGCTTATAAAATTTGCGGAACTTTCAATGCTTTTTTTGAAAGAGCAATTTTCAGTTGTGTCGCAAGTAATGGGGGATTCCATTTGGTTTTGCAATACTTCCTTAAAACTGGTGTCCCTCGCTCAACCAATCAGATGCAATCTAAAACCAACCGCGACTTAGTCGCTTACGTTTTCTCGCACCTCAAGTGGTTGCTTGTTTTAACGTTGAGTTTTCATTAGCTTTCTATGGTGTATTCCTTTTTTTTTTGATAAGCCGTTGTGATAACATTTGATTTTGCTTTTACGAAACGAAAACGAATAGCGCTCATCGTTACCGAAGTGAGAGAATCTGTTTTGTTAATTAAATGGACGCTGGCGTGCATGGTTATAAACTGAGACGCTTTGTAAAAGTTTTGAACTGCCTTGTGATTCATTCTCAGAGAAAAGAAACAAATGGCAGTAAACTCGACATTGTACATCAGATGAATAAATAACGAGATTTCAAGGCGGCGATGAAAAATTACTAAACATAGAGGAAACACTTGTCTAAGCTACAAAACAGAAAATGAAAACAAATTGGAAACTTGTCGTTTCTCCAATTCCCTGCATCGCTAGGGCTTCAAATGTGAGTTCATACTCACAAGCTTTTTACACTTAGACCACTCTTGCTTATATTGTTAAATAACATTTTTAAAAAGCTGCCTCATTACATTTATTTTTTGTAGATTTTCAGTGCCACAAAGGTACAAAATATTAGTCAGCTTTCAAGCTTATTCATAAGAACTTGTTTAGCTTTCTCGTAAAAACCAAAGAACACTGCTCCTCCAAGAGAAATCCACGTCGTTCGCATTGTAACCCCGGCAAATAGTCTGTGAAGACGAAAAAAAAATAGTTTTTTTAGTATTAAGAGCATACTGGCTCCTTAATGCAGGGATGTGATGCTACTCTATAGCGGGCAACCCCAGGGTTAACCTCTGTGATAACCTCTGCGACCGCCGCTCATTTCGGATTTCGTATAGAATAAGATACCACAGCACTTCATTACTACAGAAAATAAAAGCAGTATTGTTTTCATATAATAAAATCCAGAAATTTTGAGATTACCTACGCCTTGGCGAGATTAAATTTAAAAACAGAACTTTGGACGAGATCATGTATGAGACCTACAAGTAAGTACGTACAAAGTAACCTTACCCTGCAAATCCTTCCTGAGATTTGATTAATATTATCACTTGTGTCACACTTGCTTGAGTGTACAAAGAATCTTTCTGTTAAAGAAGAATAAAAATATGTTGCAGTCTTTGACTAATGTTTTTGCTCTTCACATTTGGCAAGACTGACTAACAGAAAAAAGGTAGATATTTGTCTCGGAGGAATATTCCTAGCAAAGGGCCACCACTCTTTTACATTCTAATTCAGCAAAGTACTGTACATAAGGCAAAAAGTTCCCAGAGTTTGCTGAAGGCCTGCAATGACACTTTTTTCAGCTTTGCTCCGTTTCCGATTCTTGTACCTTTTTTTTTAAATCCGTAGACTTAAGTAACCACAACGACCAATCAGATTTTAGAGAAATATCTCAAGGAGCCAATGAGAACGAAGGACAAAACAAGCAAACTACCTCAAGAGCGGGAAAACTTGAGTGAACAAACCTTAGTTGACTTTAGTTTTGAATCTGATTGGTTGAAAATATCTTAAGGAGCCAATGAGAACTCATAAATAAGCAAACTCTCTAAAGCGCGGGAAAACGTGAGTGACCAAGACGCGATTGGCTTTAGTTTTGAATCTGATTGGTTGAGAGGGTGGCGCGAATTCCTTGACCAATCACAGAACATAACTTGAAGTAAACCCTTTGAAACTGATTCGCAACTGTAGATTACTTTTGACAAGGCACACACGAGAAATTTTAAAATATAATTTCTTATACCGGTGCAAGCATAACTCTTGTTTTTGCAACATCTAAAGGCGTCGTAACGGCAGCTCCAAATCCACCTGAAGAATACAATAAGAGAAAATATTCGGTAATTGAGAGACTAAGATACGGTGATTGTAAAACGCAAACTGAGTGTAGTAAAGCCACAAAAAAAGCAAACACCTACAAGAACTAAATCTAACTGTGTGAAACCGGAAAAAAATTCACGAAAACATAAGTGATCGTATTTAGTTTTCAAGGAGAGTTCCACACTCTAGCTTCTAAGGCCCATTTCTTCAAAGGGCGGGTAACGCTGTCCCAAGGATAAATCGCTATTCAACAGATAATTGTGAACAAAACGTAATGCGCTATCCACCTTAAAGAGATTTAAGGCAGCGAATAGCGTTGCGAAACGGTGCGTTAGTAGCGGAGGATTGAAAACGAAGGAGATTTGAGTCGGGCTGCGTTCTACCGCTTTTATCCCACCGTTTACTTTTTGCTCCATTTTTCTAACTGAATGCCTGGAACACGCTATTTAACCCTCAGTAATCAGAACAAGCTCGAGCAGCCACGTAAACAAAAATTGTTTTTTCTTACCCGAGACTGCACCACAAATACTTGATTGCCACGCCCAAACTGGATAGCCTTGTTCCCATGACCAGATACTCTGACAAGATTAAGGAATCATAAAAAATACATAAACCAAGAAAAAACTGATAGGTGCTTGTCATGCAAATATCCCCATAGCCTTTTTTATCACCACTTCCACAAGGAGTTGAAAATGAAGGCTGGAGGATTTACTATAGATAAAGATGACTGCTATTCCTTTTACTTCTATTATCTGAAAATCAATTCTCCTCACTGTCTGTAGAATATTTTCCCTTAGTTTCAGCCCTGTTTTTAGCCAAACCCTCCCCCCTTCCTTATTAGGCCTGCTCACCTGGCAACAATAAGCAGAGTTGTGATCACAAT